TATTTTCAAACCGGACTATAGTGAATCCGGACTGATCGAAACCGCAATATGCAAGGTATTTCTGTATATATCTATCGATTTTACTATTCCATATTTTTGTAGTTTAAGTGTGATGCAGCACACAAGAAATATTAATTAATAATATTTATTCTTTATCGATTTTGCTATTACTTATTTTCGAATCTCGCAGATCAAGTGTGTTGTAACGAAACGAATTGATCTCACTATGAGAGGATTCATGTAGACACGATTTGTAAGAAATAATATATATAGCGGTTCAGATTATGCAAACTATTGAGAATCGTAAAGCAAAGCAGGTTTAACGATGGATTTAAAGACGCTCATGGAAGGTATATCATCATCGATATAGGATTTTCCTTTGGAAAGCATACGGATTTGCAACACGCATCTAAGAAATTGGATCCTTTCAGAACTTCAAGTTTCGTTCAAGTTTTTTCTTTGTGTGCAAATTTAAAGACAATTATTCGAAATTGTTATCGGGTCGATTACTGTTCGTTTTCAACTAATTTGTCTGCTCTTTTACGTTTCGTTTATTTGGTTGTGAAAGTAGTTTGTGCGAGCGTTTGCACCTATCATGCAGTGCTGGAGAGTAGTATTTAGGTGCATTGATTAAATTCCGCAAACTGCACGGAATTCAATAAAGCTAAACCGTGATGTATACTTCCTCTGTCAACTATTGATACTCTCACATTGTGCTGGGCATTATGTAAACGTACACTGTTAGATTAAATAATACTCGCTGCAGCCGGCCAGGTCCGATAAAGTAAACAAAACGTGTTAATATACTTACATACATACATGCTGAGCGTTCCATTGTGCACTAGCACAAAGGGACTTATTTTGCACATATTTCGGTACTTTACGTACATTGGACCGCTTCCAAATGTAACTAGAAATCGAACTTATTGCAAAGCAATGTTTTAATATGTTTGCTTTTCGTTATTGTGCCATAACTTTTCTTTTATATTCCTATTACCAACATATTCCCAACTTTATATAAAATTAATCAAATGTCTTCTATATAACAATATTAAATTGCCATCGAAAATAAAATAGTTAATTAGTTATGCGAATAACCCGGACTGTTTGAAATTGAACTATTCAATTATGTAAATAAATTTGTATGTATAAAAATGTATGTTTTATTAACCAGATTGAAATGAATCCGGACTATGCGAGGTATTGCTGTATTAACTAGTAATTTTATAGATTAATAATATAATATATATATAATTGGTATTAAACATCTTTATTAACCACAATTATGACAAAGGTAATTAATCAATTACATTTTAATTGATTAATATAATTATTACAATTAATTGATGATGTTTGTTTTAATACATTATTTAATTTCCATTTTATTAACATATTCCCATTGTGCCTTTTATGTTATAAATGATTTATAGAATTACATAAATTTCAATCACATTAATTTTATTTTAATTAATGTAATTACATCATTTGCATAATGCAATCAGGATACAAATGATTATATATAATGAATGCATTAGTTATTATTCACGAAAATATTACATTTATCCACTGCAATCATAATCATAAAACAATTTTTTGTTTTAAATAATAATAATATCTAGATTTTTACAAAATTGTCTGGAATTTTACCATTTACATATTTATTTATTCTATATCTTCCATTTGCTGTGAAAGCAAATCTTTAATTCATCTGCTACCATCCGTTTTTTTTCTAGTGTTATACATATTTTTTTTTCATTACACCATGACAAAATAAAATAAAACATTCGCAGCTGAATGTATGCAGTTGTAAACGTACTTAAAATCCCCTTAAAGCCCCATTTCCAGAGTGCAGGCGAAAACTTTAATCTTTCCATTTATTTTACAATCCATTCCATAAATTTCCTGCTTTTGTTCCGATACACAACCAGCTGCAAACGTTAAACGGCATAAAATTACGAACCTAAATTGAAAATAAGGTGATTTAATGTATTATTATTCATTTCATAGAAAACTATAGAAAATGCACTAGTTTTTCATTTGAATGAAATTTAACATTAATATATATATGCAAGTGCATTAACTTTTATATTTAATTCCAGTATTTCTCATTTGAAGTAATACGTAAAATTAATAAACGTATTTGTATTAATCTTAATGCACATTTTAAAATATTAATTATAATATAAGTAGATTAAAAGATTTCTGTATTTATAAAATTATTCGATTAGTTCGGTTTCAAAGAGTCCAGGTTATTGGCGGAAACAATTACCCAGACTGTTTACATGATATTGGAACAATTTGGAATGATATATGTTGATTCCTTTTTAAATATTAATTTTATTAATTGCTTACTAATTGAGTTGAAATGATTTTGCATGTACTAGAATTTGTACTCTTTTAAGAATTATACACCGCAATTAGAGTAGAATTTTACACACGAATTAACATGCATAATTCAAGTAATCAGCACCTGCTCATTATCACCCTCTCTCATGGTGCCGTTTTAGAATGGGGGTTAATTACGTCGACAGTAGGTCTGAGGGTGGGCCGCACACGTCAACCGTGGAAGATGCTCGAAACTCCCATGCTATATACTCAGTATTATGAGAAAACTCATGAAATTTTCAAACACTCATTATCATAGTCACATGTACCCGTTTCCAATCGTACCGAATACATCATCATATTTAGAGCCCTGTTGCTTCTCACGTACTGTATTTTGGTTACGTAATAGCAATTGCATATCATAAATATTTACTCATATCTTTAAATGTCTATTTACTATTTGTAACAAACTTTTGAACCCAAAAAATGACAAAATGTTAAAAAAAATACGACAGGAATTATTTAATATTTGTTATGTATTAATTTTTAATCACTAATATGTAATTAGGCTTGGTATATTGGACTATAAAATTGAAACATCTACATTATCCAAATGTATATTCATCGGGTCTATATCGAAAGCCCGACAACCGAAATCCCGTCAATTGAAATCCCGACGTTCAAAATCCCAACTGTATCGAAATCCCGACGTTCAAAATACCGATTGTATCAAAATCCCGACAATATCGAAAGTTTCTACAATAACATTTTTAAATTATTTCGGAGCGTAGTCACCATGTGCTACATTTTTATTATAAATTTATTTAATTTTGTTGAATTATTATAAACCTTAACAATTATTAATTGTTGTTATTAATTATGAATAAAAAATTAAAAGTGACTACGCTGCGGAGTAATTTAGACATTTTCGATAGAGTCGGCATTTTGAGACAGTCGGGATTATGGTTGTCAGGATTTTAATATAGTCGGGATTATGGTTGTGGGGATTTCGATACAGTCGTGATTTCAAACGTCGGGATTTCGACGGTCGGGAATTTGATTAACGGGATTTCGTTTGTCTGGCTTTCGATTGCCACCGATATTCATCATAACGTTATCTATTCATAATAGAAATTACTGTTTTTTATTATAACATGCACACCCTATACTATAGTATCATATAACTTCCTAATAAAAGTTACATGAAAATAAATGAGAAACAGTGTAAAATAAGAAACAAAGTAAACTTATATCATGTTTCAGAACATTTTCACCTTAACAGAAGACTAAGTTGTCTGAACCATTAAAATATAAAATAAAAACTTTAAATCTAGGAAAATATATTGATTCATTAAAGGCAAGTTGAGTGTATTGATGAAAATAAACTTTTAATGTATAAACAACTTTTGCACTTACCTTTACAGACGCCTCCACAGGGAGTCATATATAAAGTTATATTAAACATATAGTATACAACTGCGAGGATTGTACCTAGTTAATGCATTATACAATGTTACAAAATTTGAAATTTAACGAGATTTACAATTTATGACAGTTATAAATATTTTTATCAATCATCATACATAATATATAGTTTAACAACATTTTTAATAAGATGTATAAATGAATTGATGTTATTTTTAATAATATCATGATTAGTAAATGTTAATTTGTTGTGTAATTAAACTGTAAAATTTCACACTACATTTTCGTTATAAGAAACTTAAGCAGAATGAAATCATTTGGAAGTTTCAAATACCATACATTAGTTTTCTAAAATTTGCTAATGAAGCATAGAAAACCTTCAAATAAAAATGCATTACTTTATTGATTAATAAGACAAATATAATAGAATTTTAATAAGCCGGGCTTTTCATGGTATTAGATTTGTACAAGAATGCATAGAATCTGATTTTCTTATGCATTTCATTGCAAAACGTTCTGGAATTTACTACGTAATAAATTCATTAAAGAAGCGTTACCATTATGTATACAAATAATTTAGATATTAAATAATATAAATATTACTAACAATCTGTACAATAATCATATTTTAATTGCACAAATAATCAGTTTTTTTTTTCAATAAAGACACTAATTACTATATTGCATTAATAACGCCAAACCTCGATACATTATACCCATTTTGTAATACGAGAGTCAATAACTAATATGGTGTAATGTTTCTTACCCTTTCTTGCCCTTTGTGCATATATGCTGCATGTATTTAATTTGCAGTTACAATTTTTGTTAATTTTGTATATGAATACAAACAATGTTTACTTTATTACAATAATTAAATTAAAAATAAGTAATCTAATTAATTATTGAGTAAAATGAATGCTAATATGTTTGAAATATTGTAACAACTTAATCATAAAAATAGGTAGGTGTGTTTCCTGTTTATATATATATTGAGTTCAAGTCTCCGACAAATTGGATAACCTGTGGCGTGATTTAGAAATAATGACGTGAAGCTTAGAAAACAAGTATTGGAACAATTTCGGCGAGGTCGGTCAAATAGGAATTGGGGTAATTGGAGCCGCAGACTTAAAGCAAACTTCGTTTCTTTTTTGGAAAACACAATGTTGCACTTCTTTTCCTTTTTTTCTTCTTGTGGTATCTGTGGTTAAGGATCAGGATCAGTGTTCGGCGCGCCACTGACAAGGCTGCGAAGTCAGATACAATCGATGCAAAAGTTCGCGCCGCCCTCGCACATCTTGCCGCCTCCACTGCCGTCGCCGAACGCCGGCTTCAGTACGATTTCGCGCGGGCCGCCCGCAACAATCCTCACTCACTCATCCAATCTCTCTCACTCGCACACCGACTCTCTCACCGATATCGCTACTCCTCGTAGTAGTGCACTACATCCTCATTAAATCGGCCGCCCCCGCGCAAAAAATATAATTGTTGACATCAACTCGTTGTTGGAAAATAGGCAATATCCAGATTATATTTCTTTGCCAAGTGCGAATTGCAGTTGTGCGGAGCGCGGAAAATAAGTAAATCGGAAACGCGTGGAAAAAGTTTCGCAAACTATTTTCCAAGTGACTTTTCCTCTTCCGGTTTCCACAGAAATTAAAAATTACTCGCTTTACGCACAGTGATTTCTTTCTCTTCTGTACCGAGACTTAACAAGTGAGTAAATATATATTTAAATCACTTGCTTAATTATAAGAAAAAAAAAACAACTTTATTTTAAAATATCATAAGACAAATTGTAAAATTGTTTTTGGTATAAGAATAATAAATGTTACATAATATATTGCTTAAATATTACAAACATTTGAATGACTATTTGAATACTATAAGTATGCAAAATTTAATTATTTTAAATTATCAATAGACAAATTTAAAAAAAAAATACATATAGGAACAAAAATATTAATTGTATAAAAAATAATTACAAATATTTAAATTTCATGACAATTTATGCAAAATATGATTATTTTACATTATCATTGGACAGATCTTAATATAGAAAAAATACTAGATATTTTATGATATAAAAATACTTACAAATATTCAAAAGATGAAAAGATATAAAAAAATGATCTAAAATTAATTAGATCATTTCTCTAAGTTGATAAGAAAAATTGCTGAAAATATATTTGTATTAAAATTATCTTTAATACAATTTATTTAATGAATTAACCAAAAAAAAAACTATTTTAAAGTTTTTCCTCTGCTAAAAATGGGTCACTTATGTCGATAGTTACGTATACATTTTTATTATTATCTATTAAAAATAAAATAATTTCAGTTATTATGTTTATGGAATATAATTAAAGTATCTTAGCTTGTTTATATTATTTTTCTCTATTTTTTTGTATATACAAGATATTAATTTAAAAAATAGATTAAGTATTATACAAAATGTTTCATGAACAAAAAATATGACAGAAGAGAAGATATAATATTAACAATAATTATTAGAATCGTTATGGAAATAAATCCTAACATAAAATAATATACTAAATTTGACCTATTGAAAAGGGTTGTTGACCTGGGTCAGCATCCAAAGTTGAATGTCATAAATCGAAATTTTATGTTTCAAATTTTAATTATTTCTTTACTTATTTTCATGATAATGGTAATGTTCAGTTCAAAAATTATACAACAAATTATAACATTACAAAAAAAAGTATGAAAACCATTAATCCATTACATGTATATGAGTGACAAATTTATTTTAGTTTTACAAAATGAGTTTGTAAGTTTCTTTAATTTTAATATTTTTTCTATTAATAAATTACATAATATTCAATTTTACGAGTTTGTATTAACTAATCATTTGTGATCATTAAAGAGGATATTCATTAACTTTATACATTATTTTTTTAAAATTTATAATTAATAACTGACTATTAGATTTAGACAAAATTATGAAGAAATTTTATTTTCAAGATGCACCAAGTTTAATTATTTTCTTTGTGACATGTTTATATTTATAGGTAATAATGTAAAAAATACTAAGTTTTAACTGAAAAAGATCCTATTGGTGATAAAAGTCATGAAATTGTATCAATGCTTTATACATTGCTGTTTTATACAGTTGAATACCATAAGTCTATAATAGGTTTTAACAATCCAACTTAGTTCTGGAGTATCAGCCCGTATTGTTTCAAAAAGAATATAATCTGTATTCCACTATAATCTTCAGATTGTATAGATTGTTAAAATTAGTTGAAGGAGAACAATACCGATTATAAAAGCAACTTGATTCTGTGATGTAATGATTGCGGTCAATAAAATTTCATATATATTTTAAATATACTGTGGAAACTCGCTTAACGAGCACCTTGCATAACGAGTAATTCGCTTAACGAGCAAAATAAATTGTAAGAAAAATGACTCGCAAACTGGAATGCATATTGCATTATGGGGAATTTTTTACACTATACGAGTAAAAATCCGGAAATTTTTATCGGATTAAGCTCGTTAAGCGAGGTTCTACTGTATATAATAAATTTTACTAAGTTATATTAAATACATTTTTATGATTACTTATTACATGTTTATTAATTGTTAAATTTTTTTTTTTTCTAAACTTATTGATTAAGTCATGAGAAATGGGAGCTACTTGTTTTTGTTTGTGAGAAAGTATTTAGAGAGTATTATTAACCAAATATTATTGTGCAACATCATTCAAATCAAAATCATTAATTATGTTTTTTTTTGTAAATTTTCCAGTTCACCATTTATACATTACTTATTTACGGCAGTTACAGCTAGAAGATTACTTGTAATTTAGTTTGTGGTAGCACCGATGTCAGACCACTGTTGCATGGAAACTACAAAGCATATATCATTTACACAACAATATGTGTATCTAAAGTCCACAGTGGATGCATTGCACTAAAGCTGACACTGCACACGGACGTGCACTTTATGCTATCAATGAAATAAGGCACCTTTTATTATTTGAATCACATCATTGGAATTATTTAGTATTTTGATACTTTCAATGTAGATGCTTATTATACATATATGTTATTGATTTTATTATAGATCAACTTGTAATTGATATTGATGTGATGAAATATTTCATACATTGTTAATATTAATATCCAAATAAAAAAAAATAAACTCTAAAACGACGATTATCCATGTTAATTCGGGAACGTTAAAGCACGAATAATTGAAAAAAACGGTTAATACAAACATCACATCTATTTGCTTTAAAAACTTAATGTATTGATATACAAAAACACATTTTTAATCAATATTTTCTGTAATTTCTATTGTCGCGATTGTTTTCACTAGGATTGCCGCGACCACGGTTAATCCGAACCACGATAAATTGAGACCTGCATAATCGACGTTTTACTGTAGTTATATTTTTTTAAATTATTTAAACATACAATAATAGTTAAAAACCGGACTAATCGAGGCATTTAAAACTGCATTAAAATAAACCGTATAAACATAAAAACTAACGATAATTTATGTATCAAAAATACTTTTATTTGTTATCTTTTGAGAATTTGTTTTAATTTTGCTCAATTAAAATATAATTTGTTTTGAAGTTTTTAAACCGGACTATAGAAAATCCGAACTTATCAAAGCCGTTTCGTTTTAGATTATTTGATATTAAAGTTAATGACAAAATACATTAACTTTAAGATATTTTGAATAAGTATAGAATTCGTTTGATAAAGTAATAAATCTAAAGCTGGAATTAGGATGCGCAATTGTGGAACAAACAATGCTAAAATAATATATCCACTTGACCTAATTAGTTGGAAAATAAGGGTATGTATTCACAGTGCATGACAAAATACGTAAGCATTATTTATATTTTACATTTCTATCGAATATTTCACATATGTAAAGTAAAATTTTCGAATTTTATTCCAGCGTAATGAAATAAAATTTTAATAAACTAATAGACTCGTAATTATACGCTCGACAAGCCCGAGCCGAATGGACTTTTTTTGCAATTTCCGGTTAAATCATTAACGTTAATTTCGATGTGCTCTTTGATGCATTTTTTTTAATACGATTTTGATGCGAACGCCCCAGCGCATCCCCCACATTCTCGTATCCCCATATGCATCTCTTCCTATCCTTCCCACTCTTTTCCACCCTCTAAATTTTATTTCGTGCATGGCTCAGGTTGTTAAATGATGTTCGGAATGAAATGGAAATGTGCTCGACGGAATAAAATGAATTTCCCAAAGGGAAGTGTTGGCAAGTCTGTGCATGTAATGTATTGGGTTTAATGTGATTGAGATGCATTCTGTGCTGACCATATAGTGGCGGTGGTGGTGCGAAGGTGTGAAAAAGTAATAAATTCTTCGTACCTCGCCTCCCACCGACGCCCACAGCCATCCACTTCCGCGTTTTGATCGTGTCATTTCCTTATATCGAGAAGCCAGAATCTATACGGTTATATACTTAAATAAGATACAAAAAAAATGTGTACGTTTTTCATGTATTGAATAATATTTTAAAAATATCTTCTTTTCATGCAAATTTAATTTCAATATTTCAGATATTTTCCTAAAATATTTTTGTAAAAGTTAATATTTTCTTTTTGTGGTTTGTACAATGAAGTAGTAGTTGATTCACCGGTAAGAACTTCCGCATTAAGTGTTACAGTAAGAAATAGACGACAATAATTTTCACATTGGAACTAAATTTAATCTTTATTCTTTTTGATTATTTTTAGATAATTAGTTTGGTCTGTAATAAAGAACAAATAAATAATTATACTGAATTGTATAGCTAATTAATTTGTAACATCTTTCTTCTTGATATGTGTACACGTCATAAAGAATACAGTTTGGTTAATCGAACACAGCTTTTTTTATGTTCCGAAAACAAACACATGTTCGGATAACGAACACTTTACATAACTATTGGGAGTTAACGTTGGTGGCAATATAAAGCATATACTTTTTCTTAAATCGATGATTGCTTAACGTACAATTCGTACAATTAGAACAAATTCCGGATTCAATTTAAAAAAAAGAGATTTATATAATTAAATCAGTTACACATTACAAACAAAATGAACAAGAGAAGATACTTGATCATAATAAAATAATTATTTTGAAATTTCATTAAAACAAAATGTATTGTGGAAATAGGATTACTTTATGTTTTCATTAACTTTTTCCAAGACTTGTCCCAAAAGCACAATTTGATTTGCTTCTGAATACCCTAGCTAGATTCCTAGGCCTTCATTTAATACAAAAAATAAACTTTATATAATTAGTTTGTTTGTTTCCTTCGTGAAAAGTAATTCGCTTTTGTTTTAGATGTCCTCAGGAGTTTGTTTATTTGTTTCTATTACTCTATTGGACTTTGTTCAACTATGTTTAATTTAGTTAGAGTTTATAATGTCCAGTGATTGTCTCTTAGTTACTCACTGTTTGTATTATTCCGACCATTGTAATATATAGTTACATTATGCTTTGTTTTGTGCATTGTTGTTTCCCAACTATTTTATCATTATTATAATTTATATATTCAAGTTCTTAATTAATAAATGGACAGAATGTTGAATAAGTAACATTTATAGATAAAAATGGTTTTATTTTCAGAGATAGAATTATGTTATATTTTATATTTAAAATTTAAGTACAGCAATACCTCGAATAGTTCGATTTGAAATTTTCATTTATATATAT